TCATAGTAAGTTACTTTTGCAGAAGGTGCAGATGCAGCTCTTAGTAAAGGTTTCCTTTAAGCTTATCAAACAATCATACACAACATAAGTGCACACTCCCTATACCTGGAAGCATTTTTATCTGACACTATCATATGAATCATTTGCAAAGAGTATACCACTGCATGAGATCCAGTTCATAATTCAAACACTGCATTCCAAATCCTGCACAAATGTTTCACAAACCCATGTCAGAAGCAAAACACAAATGGCTGACTACAATAACCCTTATGCATGGTCCAATTAAAATGACAGAGGGGCCCATGAACTGAAAACATCCTGGGGCCCACAGCACAATTAATGCATCGCTGGTCATACTGTATCTTATGTGTGGCAAAGCAGGTTCTGGAGCAACCAAGGACAGACATATATGTATATTGATGGTATTTTTGTCTTAATATTCTTGCTTCAAACTGTTAGTACCATTATCAGGAAATTAGTTAAGTAATTTCAGTCATATGTGTGGCAATAAAATGCCCAGGGTGATGATAACACTGTACCTGTGGGTGTACTTTGTGACAGGAAGTCAAGGTAGACTACACTTTTTTTCTTTTTAAATACAGTTTTTATTTTCTATTTAAATAATTACTTTCTTCATCCCTATCGGTTAAAAGTTTTACTTTTTTTTACTTTTTAGTTTTTGTCTTTTTTTGTAAATGTTTTTTCTTCTCTAGTTTGTATGTGACTTTATTTTACATGTTTCAAGAAAGAAGACAGTGGAGGGCACATTACTACAACCTTTGCCTTAGGTCTAGTCCCACCACTTCCATCTGGTTTATGCCAACTTCTTGTGAAAACCACATGAAAAAAAATTGGGTTACCGGGGATCCTCCGTGTTCCTCTTCAAGACAAATTATGTTGAAAAACAGCTATGGTGGCTAAATGAGCTTTGCAGAGACAGGCTGTACGTCTTCTTCATGCCGCAATGCAGAAAACGGCACTTATAAATAATTATGACGCCAATCCTAATACTCATTTAGAATTACTATACGATATTCATGCCATACTGTTGAAGGCCATAAACCGTCCTAGCCCTGTTCTCAGTAATCGTTGTGACAGCTCCGCAAGCACCAGGGGTTCTCTTAAATCTGGAGCTTCTCACCATCAATCCTCGGTCTATACTACGAAACAGCATGGTGTCATATTAATGCTTGTTGTCGCCATCCACCTCCGACAATTTGTATGGAAAAATACATTGTGCCCATGCCAAAAATAATTAAACAGTGTACGCATTACATCTGCCATCCAATGTAGCTGTAACGTTTCAACTTTCTTTCCCTTCACATCACATAGGGTTATTAGCGCCTCCGATGCAACTGGCAAAAGGCCATGCAAGTCCCATCTCCTCTAATGGCGCAGGTACCAAAAGTGCCCCGGACAACCACTTTGCCCTCCTCCTTCGTTATCACAAATAACTTTTTTTGTTTCTCCCCACTCGAAACGCATTTGCCGGTAATTGTCCTAAATATTTTGCCAAAAAAACTGAACTTATATAACAAGGTAATGTCAACAGTGAAGAACGGCATGATAAAATCCTATCCAAAAGTGAAAAATGCTAATTTTGTCTCATTTAGCAGCTGGATACAGAAATGCTCATTAGTTTTAAGAGGGTTAATCTTTTTAACTTTTGCATATTGATATGCCAATTATGCCTAATTGTACAAGAGGCATCAGTCAAGGTAATAGTGCAGAAACACATGAAAGTTATTAAGTATATCCCAACATGTAATAAAGTAGGTGTTAATTGGTAGCTGGGTTCTGCAGGCTATTGAGGTGGATAATTCATTGCAAAATGGATCACTTCTAATTTCTCGACATAATTCCTTTTGCAGCCTCACGCTGGGATGTTTTCATGCTTATCAAAAAACAACGGCAGCCGGGCGCCTTTTGTTAAACACAGGCAATAAAATATGTTTGGCTTCATTAAGTATACTTAACTTTTAAACTTTTTTAAAGGTAATTTTTTTCTTGATGGACTGATGCTGTCAAGAAGTGTCTTACACGAATCAAGTGTGATTTAAACGCTGAACATTACAGATCAGTCGGGTGATTTTTTTTTTTTAACTGTTCCAATGTAGATAATTTATCTTGGAGGCAGACTATAGCATGCGCATTGCTGTGGCTCAGCTGCTAAGGCTCAACTGCTTGAGGATTGTTATTTTGTACAGTATGTGCTTAACTCTACCAGTTCCATGGTGTAATTTCTGTGCAACTGAACGCACAACTTTAAAAAGAGGTTAAAGTCCATCTGGAGTCACAGAAGTAGAAGTTCAGTTGGATAAATACTGGATTTACAACCTCAGTTTGTATAGGCTTACATACAATTTGCTGTATAGAAGATGCACAGTGGGGAGAATGTAACAAAACTGGAGCAAACCGATCTGGAGCAGTTCCCCATGGCAATCAATCAGCATCTCTCTTTTTGCTCAGGTAAGATTTGAAAATAAAAGAGAGAACCTGATTGGCTGGGGTGCACATCTGCTCCATGTTTTGTCTGCTCCAGTTTTGATAAATTCCCCCCAGTGTGTCTAGATAGATGCCAGAGTTTGACCACGCTGGCCAATGCACTCCATAATCATAATCTGCACTCCTCTGAGTAGGAAGTATATTGCCACTGAGAGAAGAAGGTATATTAAAGCTGGATTCATCTGCTTTGCATTGCCGGTGGCTGGAGGTGCCTAACACAGGTTGACTTTACAGCCTGCTGGAAAGTCTCCCTGCTGGAAGACCTAGCTCTTATAACAGCTATGGAGAAAAGAAAGGCTCCAAGTGTGCTCCTGTAACCATTGTATGAGTGTCCTAACAAGTCCTTGTTGGTTATGTGTATTCTGAAGCAATAATCCTCTAAGCAAGTAAAACTTAATTCAGCATTCCTCAAGATCTCAGTGCTTCATCTAAACACATAACCAACAGTCCTCACATTTAGGCGATTCATTGGAGTAATATCTCCCTGGCCCTCATTCTAGGGGAGATATTCTCTTGTCTATGGCTAGATATAGACATGAGACCATGGTCAAATGACTGTATTGTGAAACTGTTGTGGAAGAAACATGTACTCTTAGTCATGCACTTTACAGACACATTCTGATACTGGCATTATCTTGGGTTACAACAACGATTGGTTGGGAAAATCCATTCCAGGCAGCTGAGTATTGAAACAACATTGATCTACCATGCTGATTTTTTTTAACCAGTTGGAAGTAATTTACAGACAAATATCATTCCCAATATGACAGCTATCATGTGGATCAGACAACAATCCTCTTGTGTCTACGGGTAACACTTGCACCACCTGACCTTCAAATTCTGCCATTACATCAGCATCACTAGTAATTTGATTATTAAAAGATTTATTGTAAGCGTCAACTAATTACATTACGTTATTCTTGATCTTTACTGTCTGTGTCTTAATGTTTTGTTCTGAAAATTCACAGAACATAAATTTAGTCTATTCTTTGTAAAAACTTAAATGCCAACCCTGTGAATCAGAGCAAGGGGGTCTTCAGTATGGTGTGATAAATATTTGTAATATAATGTAACAGGGACATAGTGAGGCTTAATTCAAACCCTTATTTACAGATTAATAAACCAGTTTATAGAAGTCAGAGTTATGTTTGGAGAAAATGCATCACCACACTAACCCACTGACTTAGTAAACTGGTAAAGTGGTTCTAATGATACCAGTTGACTTTCCAGAGTGTACAGTGGCCCCCCATGCAGAACTACCCTTCTTTATGAGGGTGGTGATAGGGGGCAAGGATTCTTAACCTGTAACTCCTGTGCCAATATAAGTGGGATCTCAGTTGGAGCCCACTCATACCAGTGGTGAACAGAGCTCATGGTGAAGGGAGGAGAACCGGCGCTCTACAAAAACACAGGCTTTTCGGGGAGGGAGAGGGGTGGGCATTGTGCACTTTGAATTGACCCTAAGTGAACTAGCAAAGGTCTATTGGATCTATTTACTAGTTTACTTATTACTGGAATAAACTGAATATTCTCACTGGTGGAAGAAATGTAAGTGATCGCTCCAGTGAAATATCAATGGAGCATATATATTTTCTGCTGTTTATTCGTCACTATCTATATTGACCTCAAGTAATATAAACTAAAAGAAAATAAAGTTTGTTTCACTCGAGATTAATAAAAATGTACTGGAAACCTCACCCCTGGTAGCGATAGCTCACCATCTACTCCACCCAAGAACGCAACAAAAGCCTCCAGAATTCCAAAGCAAATATTCACTACCTTTATCACTGGAAAACTAAGTTCCAATTCTAGCAATTTCACCTTCTCATTTGCAGCATTTTGTTTCTTCATTTAATTTTAGGTTTTTTTTAAAGGGCTCATTCACATAAAATTTTTTTTTCATGGCGGTAACTAAAGTTGGTTTCCAACCTTGCTGCAGAAATCATATCCCTAAAAAACCCATGACTGTACAGTAACCATCCATTGACTTGAATTAGCAGAACCTGTCTTGTGTTTTGATCCAATTATATCACTCAAAGGCTACTCTTACTGGCCATTGTTCTGACTTGACTAGAGGGCTCCAGTACACAACCAAGTATAAAAAGCCACACCACCACGTCAATTAGGTGTTTCAGCAAACCTATCACAGTGGGAAAAAAAACATCCTACTAAACTTCTTAAGTGGCTTTACTGGTGCAACTTTACAGTGTTTTATAGCTGAGGGCCATAACTGTATTTTTGGAGTAAGATCCTTTTCAAGTCTATTGGAAGTTACTGTGTGCAGACACAGCACACAATTTCTGTAGCAAGCATGTAAACACCAGAGCAGTTTGCCAATGAAAGAGGTGGGGTTTAGCCTAAAACGGGCTAGGGGGCTTTTATTTAAACATAAAAAAATATGACTATCATTGTTACAAAGTTAACGTAATAAATATTACAATAAATCAGTAATAGATTTCACAAATTGAAACACATCAGTTGTGCGCCTCACTTACCTGCTTGCTAATTTCTCCAGGATCGATGATGACCATTGACTTGGACTGGCTCAGTCGCTCGTGTTGGGAATTTGGGCTCTTTATTCTCATCTGCACAGCTTCAACGTTCTTCACATTTGAAAGCGTTTCTGCAGCAGTCTCAGATAATACCTTCAAAATACATATTTTGCAATAAATCCATAGAAATTAAAGTGCATGTGAACTAAAAAAACAACAACATATTTGGATATGGTAGTTATACCGATGCAGTACCTTCTGCCTCAGACACCTTTTGTCTGAAACTCCTCCTAAATTAGCAGTGCACTTTCTCCAACGCTCCTGTGCCTAAAGTTTTATAGGTGTATATCCGCAGTGTGAGATCTAAGACACTGCTGCCCCTCCATACTAGTCTTATGAGATTTAAAGTGGGATTTGGTAAAGTCACTATTGTGCTGCTCACTGTTCTGGGGGCTCTGATATAAGACAAACCCTGCCTCTACTGAGATGTCTGCCTCCACACAAAAACAGATTCCAGAGTAAATAATTAATGGTGAAAGATCAGCTGCTGAGAGACCACAGGATATGATACCTGTAATTTGCCCTCCACTTGCCTTTTTTTCTGGCTATGACTGGGCACATTCTAGACAGACCCCTACCTAAATCAATTGCTATTTGGCAGTATTTGCCCAATTCACATTTGTTAATGTGAATCTATGGTAGGTGCAGAAGTTGAATGCCAGTGAGGCACAAGAGCCATGAGAGGTTGGAGGGTGGATAACGTGCCACCTTCCTATTCAAAGTCAATATTTGCATATTAGAGTTCATATATTTTTGGAGCTTCCAGGGAGCTCTGTAAGATAACTAAGGCAGGATGCAGATAACTGGATAACTACTGCTTTGCATTGATCCATAAGTTGCTAATGACATTTAAACCTGATTTAGAACAAGACAATTACAGATCAATCCTTGTGGGACATACAGGGCCATGCAGCATATGTACATCATTGTCTGACAACCTTGCATACACATCTCTTCGTCAGCAGCCATATATACCGTCTTGTTCCTATGCAATATATATATATATACAGTATATGCTCTGGATGCTGATGAGGAACCACAGATGGCTCGGTGGGTGCTAGCATTTCATTTGGAATTCTTTACTCATTGTGGGGTGGCAGAATTGGGTGACAGAACTCCTGTCACATTTTTCTTGCTGTCCAGAGGTCTCTAAGAGAAGTTTACCTTCCCTTCCTGTGCTGCTGGGAACGTGCTTTCACCAGACAGGAAGTGAGGGAAAATCTGCAAAAGGAACAGAGACAGAATAAAAACAGGGGACAGGGGTCCTTGCCTTCTACTTTACTAAAAGAAAAAAAGTTTATTTATGTCTTTGTTGCTATTAGGAGAGGTCCTTCTCACTTCCTTTCTGGCAAAATGTTCCCAGCAGGACAGGAAGTGAGAGATGATTTTGCTAGGGGGGCATTGGATCACAGTAAAGGCTTGACAAAAGTTCTGACCCTTCCAAAACTAAGCAAAAGGTTTCGGCTGGTCATACACTTTACATTCCACGTAAACTTTAATCAATTAAGAGAGCTGTCATTGCTTTTTGTCACGGTGACAATGGTTTACTTAGAGAGGAAGTGACCTGTAAAGGGTTAACAGAAAGCAAAATAAAGCCGGAAGGGGGTGCTAGCCTTCCCATACTCTAGTAATAAAAAACATTTTTTGCTATCTGTGTTGCTGTTAGGGTTGCCTCCTTTTCTTCAAGGGAAACCCGAACACTCTAGCAATGCGCTGACATTTTTTGGGGAGATTGAGTCTTAAATCATATGTAAATAGCTCCACCCATTCATATGTAAATACCACAGTTGAGACTATTTTCAGTGGGGAGTCAGTAGTCCCTATCTTAATTTTGGTTGCCCCTGTCTGCCTGACATCTTGTGTCCGGGTTGCTGCTGCAATGAAACCTGGACACCACAGCATTCAAAACCCGGACTGTCCAGGTGAATCCTAGACAGGTGGCAACCCTAGTTGCTGTTGGAGATTTTCTTTCACATCCTTCGCGGGGGAAGGACAGGACGTGAGGGTAAATCTACTTATTGGATCTCTAGATAGCTGTATATAACCAACAGGGGTTCTAATGCTTCCCCGCTCTATCCAAAAATAAAAATGAAAAAAGTTTTAATTTGGACATACCCTATAAATAGTTTTTACCTCTATCATTTTCTTTGTCTTGTCCCTTTTTCTATTTGCCTTTTTATGGCATATGTGTAGGTATCCAAAGTATTCGATGAGATATCAGTAATCTAAAGCACCTGTAAAGTGGTGTGTAGCATTCTGATAAAACACAAACTCTGATTGGTCGGTTTCTGCACTGTGCAATCGTCATTGCTATCTCTGCTACCTCATTTAAAAATCCTGACAGCGTTATGCAGTTCCATCTGTGCTACTGACACTCATTATTACAAAAGCCGCCCTGCCTTGTCCGCTGGCTGAACACACTTTCTTGCACACATGGCTAAACTTTGTTAATTTCCTTCCTGAATTATTTATAATACGTGTCAGTCTTCCTTGTATCTCCAAGTACGACACAGAGTATCGCTAAGGGTCACTAAGCCCAGATGCCAAGCCATGCACAGGCCAGCATTGTGCTGGTGCCGTCTGTTGGGATGCATTTATCCTTTTTCCACTTTTTTAGTACTGAAGCGTTTATAACGAATCATATCGCTTCAGCCTCGTTCACAATGCCAATGACATACACATATGGGACATTTCTAAATGCAGATAAATGCATGTATTGATTTTAAATTGTATAAATCGCACTGGGGGGAATTTACTAAAACTGGAGCAGACAGAATCTGGAGCAGATGTGCATAGTAACCAATCAGCGTTTTGTCTTGGGGGATCAAATTTGCACCCCTAGACCAAAGCGAGCACTTCTCATTGCTGGAGTTCCTCTTTAAGGTCCCGTTCACTTCTCGGCATACCGGGAACGCAAGTCATGTTCACGTGCCTTTCACTTCACATTCACTTCAATGGGCTTCCGCATGCATGACAAATGCAGCAAGGAAGATCATGCAGCATTTTCAGCTGCAAGCTACCCACATTTTTTCCCCGCACATTTAGCACTTGCTTTCCCAGCCATGTTTTGGTGTGCCATTAACAAGTAATGGCACTGCAAGTGCGACACACGTTTTTGATGCATTCCGTGAGCGTGAATCAAAGTGGGTGCATGGTGCTTTTTTGGCACGCGTTCACGCAATGCGAAGGTGTAAATGGGGACTAGCTTTAAAAATGAAATCTAGAAGCTGATTGGTTGCTATTCACAGCTGCTCCAGATTACATTATCTCCAATAAAAAGTTTGCTGAGGCCCCATGGGTGCACGAGGTTATAGAGCGTGAATTGCGGGCGTTTTTCCTTAAGGTGCCCATTCACCTGCTGATTATCGTATGATAATCACGGGTGATCACACGATCGTACGGTAATCGGCAGGTGTATTGGGCAGCGTACAGCTGCATCTACTCTACGGTCGCACTACTTTCGTCTTCTTAGCATGCTGTAAAACCTGCCGAAAATCGTACGATTTTCGGCAGGTTGGTAGCGTGCTCGGAAGACGAAAGCCGCACGGGCCGGTGTGCGCAAGCACACACTGCCCGCTCAGCATTGCAATCATCGGCAAGCCCTCTTCTCAGCGGGGAGGGCTTGCGATGATCGCAAGTACGATGTGCCTGATGGGCAGGTTGTTCAAAATTTTAATGACCTTACAACCATCGCACAACGAAAGTCGTGCGATGGTTGTAAGGTGTATGGCCAGCTTAACTCAAGAGCTTACATCCGTCCATAGTAGTGAATGGGCGTGGTACTCTGCTACTTGCATAAACCCGCATGTGCATAAAGCCAAACACCCCCCTGGAAAGAAGACTAACTGTCTCTGCAGTTGTACACATATATGGGACTATGCAAGTAGTGACATAAATGGGTATACAGCCTACACCTATTCACTACACCTATTCACTATTATAGAAGGTTGTATGTCGCAGCTGTGTACCCTGGACATGGAAATACACCCGCAATTTACATCCTATGGCCTCATGCGTCCATGTGCATAAAGGCCTTATGCATACCAGATAATTTATCTTTTCTGCTTTTAAATAAATCAAATGCAGGAGTCTAGTGCGAATGTATCCTTTTTCTGAAACACTCTGCTTTGATTAGAAAACGCAAAATATAATGTCCATGGGTCAAACAAACTGGCCATTAGTAACCAATCTTCTTCCATCTTTCATTATTTTACAGCAGACATGGAAGTGAAAGCTGCATGCTGATTGGTTGCTAAAAGTAACTGCATCCTTCATAATGATCTTTGTCTTTTTAAAGAGAAGCACGATCCAAACAGTTAAGGTGGACATGAACTAATTAAATAAAGATTTGCTATGTAATAGGTAACATCTAGAAATGTTAATTGTGCCTAAAAAGTAGCCTGAAAAATGTACCTTTTGTATGGAATTGCTATTGAAAAATAGCAGAGTACTTTGTAGTTTGTGAGTGTGTCTGGACACTTCTGTACCTACAGCCTCTTGGCTGTATATCTACAGTGTGAGATCTAAGGCACTGCTGCCTCTTACTGCTAGTTTCAGGAGATTTAGAGTGATATTTGGTGATGCCACTATCGTGCTGCTCACTGTTCTCCTTGCTGGAGGCTCTGATATGAGGAAGAAAAGTCCTGCCTCTAGCAAGGTTGCTACCTCCACACAGAGACACAGTGCAGAACAAGGCATGGTATGTCAATATGGGAAAAAGATCAGTTGCTGTGGCACTAATGGAGACTAGTCCTTTTCCCCTAGCTTGCCTTATTTTGGGCACAGCTTACAGAGTTCAGTTCCTATATATATGTAACCAACTGTAATATATACATACATGAAAACTAGTGATGCACCGAAATGAAACTTTTAGACCAAAATTAAAAATGTATCAGGCGGAAACTAAAACAAAAAATTAAGTTTTTTTTCCCAACCTTTTTAAATTTCTTAAATGATTATTTTATATTAATTTTTGTTTTTGTTTTTGCTTCACTGTTAGGGGATTTGGGAAAATATCAGGGGTATGAACAGACCCCTGATATTTCTTTTTTTTAAATAGAAAAATAGATTAGGGACACTGAGTCCTAAATCTGTTTGTCTTTGTCCATTCATAAACTAATGAGATAATATTAGTTACTATGTGCACAATCATGCATGAACAGGAAGTGATGAAATCACTTCCTGTTCATTCAAAACTGGGGACACAGTAAGCTTCAGTAATGATTGCTGAATGCTTGTGCTCCGCTTTCCATTCTGACTGCTCTGCCTGACACAGGAGGGTAAGCTCTCCTCCCGCACCATGACGATCGGCCTCCTGACAGGCTCTCTCCTCCTTGCTGGTCCTGGCAGCGGGATCGACTCTGTGTCCCGTCTGATCCCCACTGCCTCTGTCGGCACAGGTGGGAGTGCAGCAGGGATCAGAGGGGATGCTGCCATGCTACAACCATCATGGTGACACCACTGTCCAGCTTAAACCTGCAATTCAGCTTGCAATGTTACTGCTTGAGTATTTTCTTTTCTATGTTCAATGTTGTATAAAATAAAATGGACTTTTGGTTGACGTGGATGGCAGATGTAGATTTGGTTACTCAGGTACATTTTTTTTACATATTTTGCTACTTTTAAATACAGTATAGCAGGTACAACATACTGTCAGCATACCTTGGCATCCTTCTTAGGCGGGACAGATCTGGGGGGTTTCCAGGATCTTTCCTTAGTGAAGATGTGGACATAGAATTTTCTGCCAGAAACATCTTCGTATTCCTCCCACTGGCCCAGAAGTTGTACAGGGCGACCCGAAGGATTTGGAGGCTCCAGAATGACGTTTCTTTGATTTTACAAACAAAAAAGCCAGAGGATCTGCTGAAGCCAAAGAGAGGATGTATCTGATAAAAATAAATTTCTACACAAATAATAATATAACACTGTATCATGTGGTAGACCAAATCCCCCCACCCCCACACACATACACACACACACACACCAAAAAACACACCATACACATTACAAACTGATTGTACATTCTGCTGTTCTGTTTGCTAATTTGATCATAGGGTGAGTGTTTGTACCAGACTGGTATTTGTCTCATGACCACATTCATCTTGAACTACACGTGTCCTAATTACCACATATTTTTTAAAACACAACAACATCTCTTTTTTTTTAAATGATTCACGGTGCATGCGTACTGTACTACACCACCAACTGTTAGCAGCTTCTTGTTACAAATAAAGATTCTAGCTAGTGAGGGCAAGAGGATACACTCTTTTCTAGATTCTATTTAACTACCAAACGTGTTATTCTGCACTAAAATATTAATATTGAATCCCTTAAAGTGACACTAAACTCAGGAGTTAAATCTTAAAAATGCAACCAAGTACCTTAATTATTAACAAAAACGTATCTTATTTGTGTATCACTCGGCTGTAGATCCTCAAATCATCTTGGAATTAGTGCTGACACTGTCCTTTCTTATGGAGGGTGGCTACTTTTGTTCCCCATGGTCCCTGTGTGTGTTGTAAAGTAGTCACCGCTCCAAGCTCTCTCTCTGGTCTATAATCTCAGGTTTAGTTTACTAATTTGTATTGAAGTTATAGTCTATCACAGGAGGGAGATTGGAGCGGTGACTACTTTACAACACACACAGGGACCATGGGGAATAAAAGTAGCCACCCTCCAGAAGGAAGGACAGTGTCAGCACCAATTAAGAGATTATTTGAGGGTACAGCTGAATAATGCACAAATACGTTACAGTGATATTAGTTCATGTACTTGAATCCATTTTAAATATTTAACTCCTGCGTTTAGTGTAATGTTAAGCATTCATCATATATTTATAGACAATTTAAAGAGTTAACTCTATGGAAATGCAATATTTCAGGCCTGCGTGGATGTTGGTCTGCTGGATCACCTGTCCGGTCCTGATATCTCCCAGCCTGCCTATCTGTCTTTTCCATGAGACCTTGCTCATACATTCTCTATAATTAAAAATTAATAAAAATCAACAGATAGAGTGACATGACCAATAGGTGGATCGAGCTGGAAACTCAGATGCTGACAACTCACTGCCAGTTATAGGAAGCCAGTGAGATGGAAATTGGCATAGAAAATGATGTACACTATTGACTCATGCAGACATCCACCCCGAACTACAGTATCAGATTTCAGTCAGTCATTTCCTTTAAGGGGAACCTTTTGACACATGGAATGAGGTTATGTAAAGAGATTGCTAGATACCTTTCTTTAATGTTTAAAATGAATAATGTTAAAGTATAAAGACCCGAGAAGTTAGTTTATTTGTTGCCTAAAAACTTTACTGACGGTTCCCATTCCTTATCTACTAATGTAATCAACTGCATCTCAACTGAAATCTATTTAAGAGGTAAAATCTCATGCAATAAAATATTTCAATATTAAACCCATCTATTTTGCAATGAGTCAGTTACTTCTTTTTTTGGATCCCGGGAAACCCTTTCTGAATTGCTTTTGTTGACAGTTGAGATATAAGTACCTGACTTGCTTTAATTCAGCACTCATGCAACAACTGTGGCTTCAACTTTGGCTGCTGCTTGGTGCTCTGCCATGCCATCCATTGTCTCCCCATCCAATGACAATGCTATTATGGGGACCTGACATATTCTGGTTGGCTAGTGAGACAGTGGGGTGCACAGGCTACAATTCAGAGTATGAGATGAAAGCTGCAATTACTGGGTTTGCCTTGAATCAGCGGCTTCCCTCGTTTCAAGGAAGAATATTTTACTACTATAGAACCTGCAGGCATGTCATAGTATACTGTATGCTCTTAATAGGCAATGTAAGCCAGGCTAGAAGGCGTCAGCGTTGCACTTTAAGTACTCTATAGGTTGAACTTGATGGACTTTTTTCAACCTGACTAATTATGTAACTATGTAACTTTAACAAGGTGCAACAAATAATTAACAATTTGCATTAAGCACAGAATTATACACAGTGAAATAAAAGCCATTTACAACCAACTTACCCGTCCCAGGCTATCACCGCTTTCTCTAATGCACACTGTCCTCAGGTGAAATTTGGTGGCTTTGATGAAGGAAATCACTGTGATCACATGTAAACAACAATCGAGCGGAATCTTTAACTGTTCTTCGTAGTAACGATTCTTCTACAGTAAAAGGATGGGATGTAACTTTAACCACTTCCTGCTACCCAAATTTGCATAGCATATTTCACTTCCACATACGTGTGTTCTTTAAGATTAAGCGTTTAATTATTATTTTTTTCTTTAACTTGGTTATTGTTAGAGGATTTACAGCTATTACCTTGTTTGACTTTGCAAAGAGTTGTAGCACTAGGCAGAAATAATGATCTGAGTTGTGTTTGATGCAACAAAGTGCAGATAGACCCTTAAAGTCAGCCACTTCCTGTTTTCTGACATCTAAAAGAGAAAAAGCAAGAGAGCTCGGAAACAGAGATGGTACTAGTGAGCCGTAAACATTGTTAACTACTCTTTGTACACACAGAAGTCTTAAATGCAGAAAGTGCACTCCCTGGAGAAAAAACAGTCAGGGGATTG